GCTGGCTTCTGTCCTGAAGCCTGTTATGGCTGCTAATTTCCCATCACGCTCTGTGCTGCCCCACGGCCGGACCCCCAGCAAAGGGCTCCAGGCCAGCCCCTCCCTATGGCATCTGGGCCACGGTGCTGCTCCATCCCCAGCCCCACCTGGTCTTGGCAGAGCTTTAACTCAGGGCCCCAAGGCAGAACCCCCAGCCATGGGGCAGGAGTTTCTGTCCCCACCCCAGTGCCAGCGGGAAGTGCATGGGGGAGCCCATGGTGAGAGTCTCCCTGGGCAGGGTGGATGTTATGGGGGGAGCCCAGAGCGGGGCCCCAACCTGACCCTGCAGAGAGGGTCGAATGGCACCAGCTGGGTCCCCGGCTGCCCCGCCTCCTCTGTAGACTGGCCAATAGGGGCTGGAGAAGGCAGCTGTGTTGAATATTTAAAAGGCGGGCAGGCAGGCAACCCGCCCACCTCGGGCGAGGCTGCTGGGCTGGCAATGGTGACACCCGGGGGGGATCAAGTGTCACCAGCGAACCCCCCCCACGTGCCCCCCAGCGCCACCACCTCCCCTTAAGGCACAAGTGGGATGAAGCGATGCCCCGTCCGTCAGAGGCGCCCGCCAGGCGTGGGGGCCGTCAGGGGCACGGTGGAGCCACAGTCGTAGTCCAGGTCGAGGACGGTGTGGGCGGCGGTGCCGGGGCCCTGCTGGCGATCCCGCAGGCTCTGGATGTAGCTCTGGGTGCACAGAGGGGACAGATCAGCACAGGGCAGGGGGAGGCTTCTGCTTCATCCCACGGTGCCAGGACCCCGAACCCTGGCTAGGCTGGGCGCCGCTTGCAGGAGAGCCCAGCATTCACCCCATCTGCTGGCTGCGGACGTCTCCCCACTCCTACCCCTCACCCGCTTACAGGGGGCGGGGCCTCTCTGCTGTCCAAACCCAGCTGGCTCTGGGGCAGAGCGTGGCAGCCGAGTGGAACGCGGATCCCAGCTCCGCTGCTCAGCCGCCACCCAAGGGAGCGGGGCTGCATGACGGCTTGGGGCGGGCGGCTCCCCACTCACCGGCGCCAGGACGTCGCCTGCGTAGCGCTTGACGGGGTTGGGCTTGCGCCGGTAGCTGGCCTCCTGCGGGGGGAGGCTCTGCCGCTTCTTGGCTTCCTTCTGCCGTATCCGGAGCAGCTGCAGCCGCTTCTGCCGCCGGCTGATGATCACTGAGAGGGTGAGCCAGGGTGAGCAACGCGCCAGGCCCCCTCCCGCTCCCTGCACCAGGCACTGCCCCTCCCCCAGGCCATAGACATGAGCAGCCTAGGATTAGCTCTTTCGGTGTGGCAGGGAAACTGAGGCACAGGCCAGGCAAGGAATTTGCCCAAAGGAGGGTCAGTGGCTGGGAAAAGAACTCAGGAATCCTGGTTCCCTCCCCGCCACTCTCCCCGGGCTGCAGCCCCCCCCCTGCGTGT